GTTTATCTTCCATTTCAGATCTTGATACAAGCTCAGCAAGATCATGTACAAGATCGTGCATCTTGCAATAGGTAATAATACCAAATTCATCCCTTCTAACATCTTGAAAGAGGGAGTTTTGCAACAGAATCATAAAATATTCATCACCTATATCCTCCATATCTTTGTTAGGAGAAGAACAGAGAAATCCTTGAGCCATCCATAGCTGGATCAAGTCTTTTCTTTCCATGTCAAAATCTTTCTTGAACTTTGAGCAATATGCAAAACATTGTTTCAAAGAAGGTGATTTCAAATTATCAAAACTCAACTTCAAAACCGACATAATTCTTTCATCTCCTTCTGGTAATTCCCATGTCTTACTTTTTTGAATTTCCAACCATTCATCGATACTATATTTAGAACGCATCATGCTTCCCAAAACCTGTTGGTACATGAATTAGTGTATATATTAAAGATTAACTAGGTGACTTGGCTATAATAACAGGAAACATCATTTGTTTTTTCAAAAAACTTAGTTGTATGTTTCCAGTAAATGTTAACATTTCACCAAAAACTGGTATTTTGTTGGAATGTTTAATCCTTAGCCAATGTTCATGTGTGTAAATAGTAAATTTGGATTTTCCCCTTCAAACGCATTTTTTCTTACGTACAACACATCACCTTATTTTTCCATAAATAAAAATGAATTTTTTTAAATAAAACCCGATGCTAATTACATTGTAACGATCTTTTTTTTCAACAAATTATTTGCAAGTCAACGCCAGTAATGGTGTTTCAATTTTGCATAAATTTAGGGATTGGGGGGTCTTTTTTTATTTTATATATAATTAAAGATTTTTTAATGGAATATATATTCAAACAATGAGTAAATGATGTGTTTCCAAATTTGACTGAGTGATAATTTTTGTTTTTGTTTTCAAATTGATTAGTTAGTTAGTTCCTTTTACTTATATCAAAGTTTGAAATTAATTTTTCAAAGAGAAAGAACACGTTTTGCTCTTTATAGGTCTTGATCCTTGTGTTTTAGGTACATTATAATTTACCTACAATTTTCTTAGGACATATCTAGGAAAATTGTTGAACTTGCAAAATCTAGGTACCTATATATACCTATATATATTTATAATGTAACATTTGTATTTTCTTAGTACATACCTATTATTTTTAAGTACATATGCCTAATCAAATATTGATAATGTAGCATACACGCATCAAATTGTATGTAAATAATTAAATGACATCAAATGTAGGTCAATTAAACTGCATATATATGCATGCAAGTTGGTCTACGTTTACATGAATTGTAGGTAAAGAAATTTACATGTACAATTGTAAAAGAAATGAGATGAAACACTGAGTAACTGTCAAACTTGATGCTACATCAAAACTAGGTGCACTAATTTAACCTCAATATTAATATTTTCCCACCCACCTTATTTTCTAACTCACTATGTAAATTTGAAAAAACACAATCATATCTTTCCACTCATCATTATTCCTAAAATACCCTTTAATTATTAATTCAAGAAAATTCATCTTAGGAAAGGTATTGATATTCTGAATGATAAAATCTATTGTTGACGGAATGCTTCTAGTTGATTTCCGGCTTGTGATATGAATGGTGTGTATTTATTTTTCACTTTAAATATTTTTAATAAAAGAGACACATGTTAGATTGTGGCTGAGCCATATTAGTAGACAAGGAGGAGTTCCTCCTTATGGGCAAGGAGGGAATCATTATCCTTGTAAATAATTTAATACTAATGAACAATTTGGCGTTTAAGGGTTTTAGTTAGAATTAAAAAAGTATGTGAGTTTTTGTCTAGACTATTTTAATTGCAAGGGGCCATATCTGAATATCTTGTATGTAAATTATCTGAATACTTTTAGTACTTGTAACAAATAAAGAAATGCATGCAGAAGAAACTTCAAATTGATATATCATTACGTACCTTTGCCGTTAACGGTATACCAGCACACTTTCTGGCAATCTCCCTTCCAATTGTTTCTAGATCTTTTGCAATAGGAGCATTACCATCTGGAAATGCTCTTTTCTTCAATATGTCCCAACAATCATCAACAGATAGACCTTTCAAATCATAGATTGGAACTACTTTTTTCGTGATTGATGCAACACTGGCACTGCGCGTAGTGACAATAACGACGCTTCCCTGGGCACTATGAAGTTTTGACAAACAAGTCATCAAATTGCTCCATTTTTGAGGATCTTCATTCCACACATCATCAAGCACGAGAAAATATCTCTTTTTTTCCAATTCTTGTACTAGGTTTTTAAGCAATGCATCTAGGCGTTGTATCCCAGCCTTTGTTGGGTTAAGATATTCTAATATCCAACTTAAAATCGAATTGACCTCAAAAGTGTTAGATACACACACCCATATTTTCTTCTCAAAATGTCCACCAATAGAATCATCATTGAATACTGACTTAGCCAAAGTTGTCTTCCCTAGGCCTCCCATTCCTACAATGGGCATTACTGAAAGATTTTCTTGATCCAAGTTGGAGTTAGTCAAGATTGTAATTATCTTTGACAGATCCTCCTTCCTTCCAACCACGATTTCATCTTCCTCAAAGATTGAGTCGGTTTCTCTGGCCCCCCCAATTTCTGGAGGGGTTGTATCTATTTTCTTGGAAACTAGTCCAATGAAAGATGCCTCAGATTTGAGATCCAACAAAGATGCATTGATCTTCTTGATTTTATGTGCCATTTTTTGACGAAACAAATGGGGATTGGAGCTTGAAATGAAGTTGAGTACCTTTTTCCTCTTTTGGTTTGACAGTTCTACTTGACTCCGGAGATCTTCATAGTTGATTTCATCCAAGACATTGTCAGCATCATCAGCTATGCCCTTCAGTTTCCTCACCCAGTCCTTCAACGCCTTGCCCCGTTCTTGTGGCTGGTGGGGAACATCACCTAAGAAATCTTGAATCTCGAGTAACGATTGACGAAGCTTTGTTAGTTCCTTTTTGAATCCCCGGAAAAGACTTATTTCTTGAGCAGCAAGTGAAGCCAGCTTGTTCAGTATTCCCTCGACAGGAAAAGTATAGAGAACTTCCATACTCGCGCGAGACAGAGATGAGAGAGCAGAGAATGCAAAGATAGCTAAGGAAACCAGATGATTGAAGACGCACGTACAGTGTTTCAGTGTTTGAGTGTTTCTCTCTCCCCCGTTGATAGAAATAAAAAGTTCCAAGTCATTTAATGTGATGAGGGGTATATCGTCTTTGCCATCAATATTGGCCTCACATTATGATAGGTGAAATTCAACCAAGTCAAAGTGCTAGACGACATGTAATGGGGCTTAAGATTTTCAATATTGGTGGCTCCGTTTAGTTTATCACTTATGAATTGTTGTTGTCGGTGGCTTTATCATTTCACGACTTCTCTGCATGGCTGTCGGTGGGTCAATTATTGTTGGTCAATTATTTCATGCCTTGTCTGCGTTGCTTTACTTTTTTCTCATGTAACTCATCTTGGATGTTTTTAAGCAATACCTGTACAAATTAAGAAGAGAAAGGAAAGAAGAGAATTGACAATTGAGAGATTATTTATTTATTTCCTCTGTTTCTGTGTGAATGATGAATTGAGTAAAATATAGTTGTTATAACTTATATACTGTTTTGAGTACAATATAGTTGGTACACAAATTATGGAATGGATGACACAAGTGTAGGACTAAGAATTGATCAGCCATTATCCAAATTTGTTCTTCTAGAAAGGTGCTGAGGTTGTGATACACTGGTCTTGATTTTCAGCTTTCAATACCTACTGACTTTGTACTCCGAATATTTCTAGATCCTTTATATTTAGTTTTTTTTAGAGAAAGTTGATTAAAAAAAGCTTTATTACTTTACTTATTTTTAGTTATTTTCATAATTTTCTATGAAGCCAGTTGTTTCAGAATTACAAGTCAAGACAGCTTAAGCTGCATTCCCATAAGAACTGGGCTGCTGTGTGAGATTGAACTTTTGAAGACTTTTTTGATTTCTTTCTAGTGGTGTGCGATATATGCTTGGAAAGCTTAGCGATAAAGCTACGTGTTTCCTATTTTCCTATAATTTTCCAGGAAGTGGAACAATCCCAAATATTGCGTCCAAGTCAGCTGACGTGTCACTCGTAAAGCAATTAAACTTGCCAATAGATTTTCTCTTCTTATAAAGTGTGCTAATAGATTTTGGCAATTCTTTGATTTTTGTTCCAGAAACATTGAACACGTGTAAAGCAATTAAACTTGACTTGAACGGGTCATGTTAAATGTATGGATGGATTTCGGGTCAATCTGTCAACCCATTAAAATACATGTTTAACTCATTTAGTAAATGGGTCATGTCAACCCATGTAATACCTACCAACCCGCCCAGCTTTGGTATTCTCCATAGCCTCAATGCCCACCGTTCATACTCAGATGGAAACAAAGCAATGCATATGGAGTTTGAGAAAATACCCAACTAACATGGGATTGTTAGGATCAGAAAACACTTCTCTCCACTTAAAATCAGAACGAATTTGGGGGACTTCCATGGGAGGGCACAGTAATCATGCTCTTAGTTTCTTGAAATTTCATTCGAGATTATCACAACTAATTCCAATTAATTTTATTTCAATATGTAATAAGTTAGCAACTAATTGAGTGGGAGAACCAGCAGCCACGACTCCTTTATTTTATGATATTAAAATCTAGAAATTTTGGTGTGCATGCAATTTAAAGTCTGTTCATGATACAAAACTAGGCCATTAGCAATAAAATGTTGAAGAAAAAAACTGCTAACGATTTATGGTAAAGAGATAAAATTAGCAGTAATTGAATACGGTAGATTGCAAAGGTAGCAATGAAGAAATTGACTTTAAACTAGTTGTCGTCATTTTATAAATGAAGGCAGAGTAGAGTCAGAAGTTTAGCAAGCTACCGATGAACACGTATAAATACTTCAAAAGTAAAAACAATATGATTATTATTAGGGTAATTCCCATCCAAAGAAATGAGTAAATAACGATGCAGGGGAAAGGGAACTGAAGTGAAGTACCTGGACTAAGTTTGCACCTAATTAAAAAAAGGTTCAAACTAGAAGATTCCAACTATTTGGTTACTAACAAATGTATCAGTAATTTATTTATTTCATATCTAGACTCAATGTGAAAATTATTTATTTACAGTTTAAAAATGAGAGCTTCTTTTGTGCACTTATACTACTTTATGTTTTTTTTAATACTTTTGTAATTACCATTAAAAAGGAGTGTAAGTAGACAAAAGGGGAGTGAAAAATTTAGTTAGTAACCAAAAATTAGTGTAATAAAGCTAACGAGGTTTAGCTTAGTGGAAAATAACCTTGACTTGTAGACCAGTATTCATAAGAAGTTCATGATTTACATAAGTTAATGTCTCTAGTATTGCCGTTGGTTATAAGAAGTTCATTTGCAGTTCAATAAGAATAACTGACCTAATCCTAAATGATTTACCTTGTTGATAGAAATGATATTTTCTCTGAGATATAGAAAGTAAAAGGATTTTGTATTTTTTAGGAATTGTAAATTTACTGGGGTAAGAATGCTTAACATTGTAATCACCAATTTCAAAACCTGTTCGGGCAAGTGAAGATCAAGAATACTTGTTGGGCTGCTCTCTAACGCCAAGTCGAAAATAGGACAAGTAAAAGTGTTCCCCCAGGTTGCTGTTTTCTATTTGGGCCACATAAATGCCACTAGTTCTGTAAGTTGTGGGCCGAGAATTTTTTTATCTTCTAACAAAAAACAAAAAAACCAGCAATTTTACAAATTTAACCGACTAATTCTTAGTCTAGTGAAACTTTCTTTTCAACGTGAAAATATATATAACAAGTAAAATCATGTATGCATAATGTATGTAGTGACCCCCTATTTCCAACCCCCAAAATTGCATTGCATTTGTCCCCCCTTCCCTTATGCGCTAGCTACATGTATATATATATTTTTTTTTGGGTCTGGAATTCATGTTGTATAGTTTGCAGTGGTCATAGGAAAGAGCAAAAGCTAGATACAAGTAGCCATGCCACGCTGCACGCACCTAGTGAAATGTCTTTGGATGATCAAATTATAAATGGAGATTTTGAAGCAATCTGTATATAAGTTTTATGTCAAGACTAAATAAGCTAATAAGTTTGACGTGAGTAATTTTTGTGATTCTAAAAACAACCAAATGCAAGTTGCAACTACACTTTATGCGTCAATACGAAGCAGAGTAAGGAATTTGTCACATTTAATTTACTTCCCTAGTTCGAGCCCACAAACCAAACGCAACAAAAGTAAACACAACAAGAAACACCATATTTAACGTGGTTCACCCAAAGTTGGGCTACATCCACGGGCGACAATGCCAATGATAATTCACTTAATCAAAAGAAAGAGAGTACAAAGAGTACAAAGAACAAACAAAATTTATCTAGCTTCTCTCATCCCATTATTCCCTATTGAAATAGAACCCCAAGTAGCAAGTACATCCAAAGGTCACTCATAAAAGCACTTCAACTATCTTTCTTCGAAGAGACAGGACGCAGAGCTTGACTAGCCAGGAAAAGTATTCTCTTAGAAGTTGATGGAAAACACTTTTCCTCATTAAACTGCACCACAACAACAAACAAGTTGACCCTGTGATGCAAACTCATAAGAATATAACTCAAGATTTGATGATGAGTGTCGAGAAAACAAATTAAAGGGATAGTAGCTTACCATTTTGTCCACAGCAATAAGTTCTAGACCACAGGCACATCGCATGCATGAGTTTCTTTTTCAATCTCGACTCTGCAATGCATGGTCAATACAACACCAAGACCAACTTAGCAAGAAATGTTCAAAATAACCTTCTACATTTCAAATAGTGGTAAAAGGCTTATAACTGAAGATTCCTTTACCTGAGTCTTGCAATAGCATAGGAACAGAAGCCTTTGTTCTCTGTGATATGCAACCATGCAAGAGTCCATGACCTTAATTACAGAAACAAGAAAAGGGAAAATAGATCAACAGCTTCCAGAAATAGTAATTTCCTTACACTACATGTATAAATTATGATTGTTTTTGGGTACTCTAAGATATGTAAGTAAAAAAATCACTTCACCATCAACAAATGATATACCATTTATATAGCTGAAACCTGCATTATGAACCACACGTTGTACACAAAAGGTTAGACGTTGTACACAAAAGGTTAGACAGAATATGAGTATTGATTGCAGTATCTCCTTGCCTGTAAAAGAGAAAATTTAAAATTTGAAACAGAAAATTACAGATGTCGCAACGAGGACACCAAGGACTCATAAACACCTGCAATTATATAGATTGCCACAAAAACAAAGCAGTTCTGTGAAACAAATGACTTAAAGCGATCTGTTCGATCATCCAAAAAATTGGAATGAAATCATGCAAGAGCTGAAGTGTCTTGCCTTTTCTGTATGTATTAGTTTGTCTTCTATACTAGCAAACCTAATTTTCCTCAACAATCTTAAGTGTTATCCCAAGAATATATTACTGAAACCGATATGTAAAATAAACTCACATTTGTGTAAGAGCATCAAACTAAAGGGCATTAAGAATGAGCAGTGGTTAGCATCTAATTACCGATAATATATCATGTGTATATAATCTTTTCTGAAACAGAAGGAATATCATACAAATGATTAAGGAGCCAAAAGTTTTTGTATGTTACTTCATAGAGTGCCAGTAACAGACTAGTAATGTGGCCACATCAGCCAACTATGCTAATCTGAGAATTCAAATCTCTGTCATTGCAAATCAAAGTCTGTTTTCATGATACAAAACTAGTAGGCCAGCAGCAGCAATAAAATGTACATGGAAAATACTGCTACAGATTTACGAGAAAGAGATAAAATCAGCAGTAATTGAATACAGTAGATTGCAAAGCTATCAAGGAAGAAAATGACTTTAAACTAGTTATCACCATTTTATTTTTCTGTTGTAAGTCTCCCCTAAGAGCGTAGAAATATAGTATTTTATTTAGAAATGAAGGTAGAGTCAGAAATTTAGCAAGCTACAGATGAACACGCATAAAACACTTCAAAAGTAAACAATACTAAACACAACATTGCTAGGGAAATGTATATATCTCAAATGATAAGGATTGAAGCTAAACATGTGAATACTTTTCTCATATATAAATGATTTCTAAGAATAATTTTTTTCTCCATGCTAGTAAACTGATCTTATGTTATTGTTATTTCATGCTGTAAGATAGTGGAAGGAAGAGAATAAAGCCAATTGAAGCCACATGGGTCAACTCTTTTAAGACAAATGCGACCAAGCAAGCATGATGTGAATGTACGATATGATTATTAGGGTAATTCTAATCAATCCCAGCCACTTTTTTTTTCTTCTTCTGCATTTATATCCAAAGAAATGAGTAAATAACGATGCAGGGGAAAGGGAACTGAAGTGAAGTACCTGGACTAAGTTTGCACCTATTCCGGAAGTGAAATCCAACAAATTGTGCCAAATTCAACTGAAAGTAAATGCCATCAGTAACACAACATATATACGAAGATGTGGAAAACATTAAGCAGAGGCTAGAGAAGAGCAGAAATCTCTGCTCTGAAAATATAGTTTAATGATTAATCTGATCAGAGAGGAACGTAATTACTTAGAGAAGAAGAGTAGGCTCACTCTCAGAATCATCACCACTTGAAGAAGAATGCTCGTAATAGGTTGGGTTACATCTTCGAAGTGGGAGTGGGTCAACTTACTGAAAAAGGTGTTTGGTCAATACTGAAGAAAAGAAAAGTGAGAAGGGAATTGAACAAACAATGAAGGATTTCTTTTGCGAATATAATTACCTGATATACATGGGATGTGAGAAGTCTTGTGCCATTCTGGGCCGCTCAGGAGGGCGGATCTTCCCCCTAGACCGGGACATGTAACAAGTTTGGTGAGGCATTGCATAACCTCAACGGCAGGAAGATACACCAGATTCTCACACGCCTTAATCCTCAGATGGGTAAGAGATGTAAGGTTACCCCAACCACTCCAGAAGAGCCTCCATGCTGTCGAAATCCTGTATATACAAATCTTGTAGACAAGTGCAGTGTTGAATTTGTTGTTGAGGTAGAGACTTGAGCTTTGGCTACCCTGTGATCTTCAGCCATAACAAGCAAAGAACTAGCTCATACAAGATTACTACCACTGGCAGCCAACACATAATGGTCTGTATCAATATTATCTCATGATTCCTGCAAACCACCATATTTCATCCTTATCAGTTTGTGCTTGCCATGACACATCGTCGTTGATCAGCTTCACAAATCCATCTGATGGACACCTTCACCTACCTCACGCAAGGATCTATAGCAAATGCATCCCCATCCCCTCTGGAAAAGAATTAAGTGGTGAGAATGAGGCAGAAGAAAAATGCTGATCAAAACCTGACCCGAAAATATATAAAAAGTTCAAATGACAACAAAACTTATGAACATATCACTGAAACTGATATGTAAAATAAACTCACATTCGTGTATGCGCATCAAACTTAAGTGCATTGAGAATGAACAGGGGTTATTATCTACTTAATGATAATATATCATGTGTATATAATCTGTATTGAAACAGAAGGAATATCATCTATATATATAAAGCAAAAGTGTGAATACTTTTCTCATATATAAATAGGAGAATGATTTCTCAGAATAATCATATTCTCCTCTGTGCTAGTAAAGTGATGTTATGATTAGATGGGAATGTATGATATGATTATTAGGGAAATTCTTTCTTTTTCTGCATTGATCTCCAAAGAAATGAGTAAATAACGATGCAGAGGAAAGGGAACTGAAGTGAAGTACCTGGACTAAGTTTGCACCTAATGCGCATTATTTGTTCTTCCAATTGCATAAGATCCTTCTGCAAACCAACAACGTATATAGGAAGATATGGAAAACATTAAGCAGAGGCTAGAGAAGAGTAGAAAGCTCTGAAAATCTAGTTTAACAATTAATCTGATGAGAGAAGAAGAGTAGACTCACTTTGTGCTCCAACTGTGCTAGCTAGTTTGTGAAGGGGTCGAATCATCATCACTAAAAGATTCCGATCTTTCGCATCCGTAAACTAATTAAAAATGTGTTTGGTCAATAATACTGAAGAAAGAAGGAAGATTCTTCAATAAGTATTTTATGTTAGAGGATTGGGTTACAATTTCTAATCTCTATATTAAATCTACCAACACATCTAATGAATGCAATCCGAGATTAGAAATATATATCCAATCCTTAACTTATACTTATTGGAGAATTAAGTGAGAAAAGGGAATTGAATGATTTCATTTGAGAATGTTGTAATTACCAATTATATGTGGGATGTGAGAAATCTTGTGCCATTCTGGGCCGCTCTCAAGGGTGGATCTTCCCCCTAGACGGGGACATGCAGCAATCACTAGCTTTTGCAATTTGGTGAGGCGTTGCATAACTTCAACGGCAGGAAGAGACACCAGATTCTTACAGTTGTGAATACTCAGGGTGGTAAGAGATGTAAGGTTACACAACCACTCTGGAAGAGCCTCCACGCTGTGGAAAGACTCTATGGACAATGCTTTTAGACAAGTGCAGTGTTGAATTTGTTGTTGAGGCAGAGACTTGAGCTTAGGCCACCCAGTGATCTCTAGAGTTTGGATTTGTGATGGGAGCTCAAAATCAGGGAAACAATGGGCTCACATCCTGTCGTAAATGAACCTTTTTCAAATTCAATGGCCACTATTACGCATGCCTTTTCCCCTAGTGCTCCAGCTATTGGACGTGTAGAGGAAACTCTAGGCGTGCCAATTGAAACAAATTCTGAAGCCCTCAATACCAACCCTTTACTGGGCCCTGCAAATTCCTTGGCTTGTGTCAGAAAAGACCCTACCCATGATGGTGAGTCAGAGATTTTTCATGCGGCTGTGAAAGCTGTCGCACTCCACAAGCCAACATCCTTGATTACTGAATCTGATCCCACAAGCGAGAAGGAGCAGCCTCCACAACAGAAACGTAGTAAGAAGAATTTTAGTCTTGAAGGTGGCAACCCCTCGTCAAAAAGGAAAAAATTTCTTCCGTCACTTAGCTCAGGCTGCTCTCTAAAACTCACTAGAGGAACCGTGGGGGTTAGAGCTGGTGCTAAAGGGGGGCGTAAACGGGCACAAGGCTCCCCTGGTGTGGCAAAGTCTGCAATCAATGACTCATCGTTGTGTGAGGTAGTGGTGAGTCCTTCCAAAGAGTTGGAGATCCTAGAACTGAGGGCTAAGAATGGTCATACTGACGGCGGTGGTGGCTGGCCTTTGACAGCCACAAGAAGTCCATGAATCTACCATTTTGGAATTGTCATGGTCGGGGCATTTTCCTGACAATTCCTCTTAGAGTGATGCTTTTATGCTCTTTAAGCCCCTCTACACAGTGCCTCTATCTTCTTGGAGGTGTCGGCAGCTTTGTTTTTGTACGTTTGTCATTGTTTCCTATTTTGCTTGTCCCCCTCCGATTCCTTGCGGCTTTGTCTCGATGTTGGACCTTCTCCACCGTGTTACGATCTGGAGCGTCTCTCCTCAGTAATACCATTGCTGTTGAGGATGCTTTTAAAGTGCATTTGGCACTTACCTCTCGGATTATGGTAGCGCTCTCTGTAGCTGTGTTGGCGTATCCATCACCATCTTCCTCTCGGTTCTTTGGCTTCTGTGACTTCTCCGGTGGCTTTGGTCTTGCGTTGGGTGCCTTGCAATGGGTTATTGGTGGTGCGGCATTTCTCAGTCTCTTGTATTACGGATTTTCTTTTGTTTCTTGGTTTTTGTTGTTTTTTTAATTTGACTGGGCAGGAAGCTTGGTTCTAGCCTTGTACTGAGGTCTAGCTGCTTCTACCTGGTTCGTGTATTTCTGGCTCAGTTTGCAATCTATCCCGTTTTGGTTTCTTTGAAACCAAACATTGACCAAAAAAAATGGAATCTACCCCAAAAACATGTGGTCAATAATTCATCTATGCACATGCTTCTGGTTGTTGAAAATGGATTGTTCTCTACTCTTTTGTTAACATTTCACCAAAAACTTGTATTTTATGTTAGAGGATTGGGTTACAATTTCTAATCTCTATATTAAATCTACCAACACATCTAATGAATGCAATCCGAGATTAGAAATATATACTCAATCCTTAACTTATACTTGTTGGAGAATTAAGTGAGAAAAAGGAATTGAATGATATCATTTGAGAATATTGTAATTACCATCTATACATGGGATGTGAGAAATCTTGTGCCATTCCGGGCCGCTCTCGAGGGCGGATCTTCCCCCTAGACGGGGACATGCAGTAATCACTAGCTCTTCTAGTTTGGTGAGGCGTTTCATAACTTGAACGGCAGGAAGAGACACCAGATTCTTACAATTGTGAATATTCAGGGTGGTAAGAGATGTAAGGTTACCCAACCACTCTGGAAGAGCCTCCACGCTGTCGAAAGACTCTATGGACAATGCTTTTAGACAAGTGCAGTGTTGAATTTGTTGTTGAGGCAGAGACTTGAGCTTAGGCCACCCTGTGATCTCTAGAGTTTGGATTTGTGATGGGAGCTCAAAATCAGGGAAACAATCGAGCTCCTCCGAAAATGCAGGATGGTAGCCCACTGGGTAGACTTGTCTATCCATCACAACCCCTAATACTCAAGTAACACTCAAGTAACAGAGGGATGTGAGGTTGTCTAAATTAATAATGGCCTCTAGATTAGGGCATCTCTGTATACTCAACTTCTTAAGAGAGATGCAATATTCTAACCTGGTCGGCAAGCTTGATAATTTCTCACAATCCTTAATCTCCAATTTCAAGCGACATGTCATGCCCTTGCCCTTGCCCAGGGTAATTGGAATGAACTCGAGACTAGAGCAACTCCTTATAGTCAAGTCCTCAAGAAGAGGGAGTGTGGGAGCATCAGAGTCAGATTGTGAAAGTGGAATGGATGTTAGATTGGAGCACCCAAGTATACTCAACCTACGAAGTGAGGTGCAATATTCCAACCCACTTGGCCAGCTTGATAATGCCTGACAATTGTCAATCAACAATTCACGAAGCCCAACCACTCTGTGTAAAGAAGGCATATACATGAGATTCTCACACTCCTGAATACTCAGGTGGGTAAGAGATGTAAGGTTACCCAACCACTCTGGAAGAGCCTCCACACCATTGAAAGATTCAATCCCCAAAGATGTTAGAGAAGTAGTCAAGTGTTGAATTTGTTGAGGCAGAGACTTGAGCTTAGGCCACCCTGTGATCTCTAGTATTTGGATTTGTGATGGAAGCTCAAAATCAGGGAAGGAATCGAGCTCCTCCGAAAACGGACCCATTTTCATAGATTCTAAACGCGTAAGAGAGCGTAGCCCATCTATTGGCAAATAGTTTAATTTCCCACAATTAAATATATCTAAAGAGGAAAGAGACTGCAACCTGGATACATCGAGATCTGGCAGAGATATCAAATTGTGGCATGAATTGATTTTCAACTCCTCAAGAGATGTGCAGGATGGTAGCCCACTCGGTAGACTTGTCAATCCATCACAACCCCAAATCTCCAACTCCTGAAGAGAGATGCAATATTCTAAGCTAGTCGGCAAGCTTGATAATTTCTCACAATCCCCGATCTTCAATTTGCGGAGACATGTCATGCCCTTGCCCAGGGTAATAGGAATGAACTCGAGACTATCGCAATGCTTTATAGTCAACTCCTCAAGGCAGGGAAACACCGCTACTTTCTCATCTGTTGGCAGTTCCTCCCATTTAATTAGAGCTGGGCAATAATAAATAGTTAAGCTTTTCAATGCTGGGAACAAAGTCTCTTTCTTCTTCGTACCGTCAACATGGTTATAACCATAAAACTCAACTCCCACACATTTAAGCTTTAACATATATCTAAGAGCATCTCCAACCGATATGTCAAAAGTGCCACATAGACATTTAACAGCTAGAAATAACATCTCACACACTCCAACCGATGTGTCAAAGCTGATGTGGAATGAAGGCTGAAGATTGAGATGTTATTTTTGACATCCCAAAAGCAAGATGTCAAATGAATATTTTATTATTTTTTAAAGATAGCTTGCTGTTACTTTTATTTATTATTTTTTTCTTCTTTGTCTTGAATGATTTGACTGTTACAAATTTTTTCCTTCTTTCTCTTTCCAATTTATTTCCAATTTAAATCAACACTAAAATGTAATAAAATAATAATTTAATTTGACATATCGGGTGGAGTGTAAACTCATCATCCATGATGCTAATTTAGAACCCATGAATCCTTCAATCATTAAGATTTCTAACTCAGAGTTGGGTCGGAGCCCTTCTAGTACATCAATGTCTTTCTCGTTTCTTTCCCTGTCACACTCCCATTGTAATGTCAACCTTCGTAGATTTGCTTTCCCAACTAAATTTGATGCTCCTGCTTGGCCTCTGTCCCTCACATGTTCCAAACCGCTAATAATTAGTTCACCTTTTAATTGGTTTAAGCCACCCAGCTCGTCAATTCCAAGATTACTTTCCTTGTCCAGAGTAAACGCAGATATTGTTTGCAGATGTTTCAATCGTCCCATTCCAAATGGAACTGGCTTATCATAATTGAAATAAACATGCCTCAAGTTGATCAAATTTTCCATTTCCTTTGGAAACGTTACAAGATGCCTTGTACGCTCCATTCTTAACGTTTGTAGGTTATGAAGCTTGCCAATAGACTTAGGGAGTTCTTTGATGTTTGTTCCAGAAACGTTCAAATACCTCACATGTATCAAGTCGCCAATTGAACTTGGCAGCTCCTCAATTTCAGCCCCGTACAAATTTAAAACACGCAAAGCCTTAAAGCTTATAAGTAATGTATTATTACTAAGGTCTTGATCAACATACACAAACAGTGACTGCCGTTTCTCAACATTTCTTTCAGACCTTTTGGAAGGATCCCATGCCACGTGTTGATTCTCAAGTTTGTCTTCCATTTCAGATCTTGATACAAGCTCAGCAAGATCATGTACAAGATCGTGCATCTTGCAATAGGTAATAATACCATATTCATCCCTTCCAACATCTTGAAAGAGGGAGTTTTGCAACAGAATCGTAAAATATTCATCACCTATATCCTCCATATCTTTGTTAGTAGAAGAACAGAGAAATCCTTGAGCCATCCATAGCTGGATCAAGTCTCCCCTTTCCATTTCAAAATCTTTCTCGAAGTTTGAGCAATATGCAAAACACTGTTTCAAAGAAGGTGATTTCAAATTATCAAAACTCAACTTCAAAACCGACATAATTCTTTCATCTCCTTCTGATAATTCCCATATCTTACTTTTTTGAATTTCCGACCATTCATCGATACTTTTAGAACGCATCATGCTTCCCAAAACCTGTTGTTACATAAATTAGTGTATATATTAAAGATTAACTAGATGACTTGGCTATGATAACAGGAAACATCATTTGTTTTTTCAAAAAACTTAGTTGTATGTTACCGGTAAAGGTTAACATTTCACCAAAAACTTGTATTTTGTTGGAATGTTTAATCCTTAGCCAATGTTCATGTGTGTAAATAGTAAATTTGGGTTTTCCCCTTCAAACGCATTTTTTCTTACCTACAACATATCACCTTATTTTTCCATAAATAAAAATGATTTTTTTTTTAATAAAACACGATATTTTTTTCAACAAATTATTTGCAAGTCAATGCCAGTAATCGTGTTTCAATTTTGCATAAATTTAGGGATTGGGGGGTCTTTTTTTATTTTATATATAATTAAAGATTTTTTAATGGAATATATATTCAAACAATGAGTAAATGATGTGTTTCCAAATTTGACTGAGTGATAATTTTTGTTTTTGTTTTCAAATTGATTAGTTAGTTAGTTCCTTTTACTTATATCAAAGTTTGAAATTAATTTTTCAAAGAGAAAGAACACTTTTTGCTCTTTATAGGTCTTGATCCTTGTGTTTTAGGTACATTATAATTTACCTACAATTTTCTTAGGACATATCTAGGAAAATTGTTGAACTTGCAAAATCTAGGTACCTATATATCTATATATATTTATACTGTAACATTTGTATTTTCTTAGTACATACCTATTATTTTTAAGTACATATGCCTAATCATTGTACGTAAATAATTAAATATTGATAAAGTAGCATACACGCATCAAATTGTATGTAAATAATTAAATGACATCAAATGTAGGTCAATTAAACTGCATATATATATGTATGCAAGTTGGTCTACGTTTACATGAATTGTAGGTAATGTAAAATTGTAAAAGAAATGAGATGAAACACAGAGTAACTGTCAAACTTGATGCTCCATCAAAATTAGGTGCACTAATTTAACCTCAATATTAATATTTTCACACCCACCTTATTTTCTAACTCACTATGTAAATTTGAAAAAACACAATCATATCTTTCCACTCATCATTATTCCTAAAATACCCTTTAATTATTAATTCAAGCAAATTCATCTTAGGAAAGGTATTGATATTCTGAATGATAAAATCTATTGTTGAAAATTTTTCCTCATCTTTCTTTACTGCCTAACGGAATGCTTCTAGTTGATTTCCGGCTTGTGATATGAATGATGTTTTGAATTTGTTAATGGCACTTGATCAGAACTACAGATGCGTTGATCTAGTAAAATGCGATTAAAAAACATGAATTTGTACAGCTAAGGCAAGCAATTGCTGATTCTGAAGCAGAACTAGCATCAATTTGTTCTACAATGGGAGCGACTAGTACATATTAGACATGTCATGAAGCCACTGTGGCATCGATTTCTTTTCAAAAGGAAATAAATAATGTGCAAAGGTTTTTTCCCCTAAGTCCTTAGAAGTTATTTTACAAAGGGGTAAATTTATCGTTAAATATTTGAAGATAAGGTAGGTGAGGAAATAGGACAAAGAAGTGGAAATAACAACACTCATTGTCAAACCTAGTCTCACAATTCATGAAAATATTGCTTATTGATGTGGTAATTCGCTAAACCTTGCTTCTATATTTTGAGTTATCACAGGCTGATAAGTTGATATGGTGAAATATAGTTATTTATGATTACATAGACGATTTTAAACTGTGATTGAAGTAAGTTTACTGTTTATTTATCCCCTTTAAATGCATACATCTGGTGTGGTAACAAATGTAAAGAAAAATTGCTACACTTAAGCCTATGGCTATGGCCTCGAAATATGACTATGCAAAGATTTGCTCACTTTTGACAAAATCCTATGAGAAGGAGATAAGACGGCAGCTAGTTGTCTTGTATATTCACTTTCCAAAACTGCCCCCCATGGGTATGATCAGGGAGGGATTGGCACCAAGTCAAGCAACTGAATCTGAATTCTAAAAGCCGTCTTAATTAATTTGGAGTTAATTTGTAATGAAGGCATCGTCACACTTTTACTTTTTGACATAGAATATGCATGACACCTTTTAAATTAATACTTGTTCTTTTTTTTATTCTCAAATGTGTATTTATTTTTCATTTTAAATATTCTTAATAAAAGAGACACGTGTCAGATTGTGGTTGAGCTACATTAATAGATAAGGAGGAATTCCTTCTTATGGGCAAGGAGGGAAGCATTATTCTTGTAAATAATTCAATACTAATGGACAATTTGTCGTTCAATTAAATTTTGGGTTTTAGTTAGAATTAAAAAGTATGTGGGTTTTTGTCTAGACTATTTTAGTTGCAAGGGGCTATAGCTGAATATCTTATATGTAAATTATCTGTTACTTTTAAGTACTTGTAACAAATAAAGAAATGCATACAGACGAAACTTCAGATTGATATATCATTACGTACCTTTGCCGTCAACGGTATACCAGCACACTTTTTGGCAATCTCCCTTCCAATTGTTTCTAGATCTTTTGGAATAGGAGCATTACCATCTGGAAATGCTCTTTTCTTCAATATGTCCCAACATTCATCAACAGATAGACCTTTCAAATCATAGATTGGAACTACTTTTTTCGTGATTGATGCAACAATGGCACTGCGCGTTGTGACAATAACGACGCTTCCCTGGGCACTATGAAGTTTTGACAAACAAGTCATCAAATTTCTCCATTTTTGAGGATTTTCATTCCACACGTCATCAAGCACGAGAAAATATCTCTGTTTTTTCCAATTGTTCTATGAGCTTTTTAAGCAATACATCTTGGCTTTGTATCACACCCAATGTTGAGTCAAGAGATTCTAATATCGTCCTTAAAATTGACTTGACCTTGAAAGTGTCAGATACACACACCCATATTTTTTTATGAAAATGCCTACCAATAGAATCATCATTGAATACTGACTTAGCCAAAGTTGTCTTCCCTAGGCCTCCCATTCCTACAATGTGCATTACTGAAAGATTTTCTTGATCCAAGTTGGAGTTGTAAGCTGACTTATGTGAGTTAGCCTAATTACGTGTTATGATTATCATATTATCTCAAGGATTGAGTCGGTTTCTCTGTCCCCCACAATTTCTGGAGGGGTTGTATCTATTTTCTTGGAAACTAGTCCAATGAAAGATGCCTCAGATTTGAGATCCAACAAAGATGCATTGATCTCCTTGATTTTATGTGCCATGTTTCGACGAAACCAGGAGTTTGAAAGGAAGTTGCGTACCTTTTTCCTCTTTTGGTTTGGCAGTTCTACTTGCCTGCGGAGATCTTCGTAGTTGATTTCATCCAAGACATTGTCAGCATCATCAGCTATGCCCTTCAGTTTCCTCACCCAGTCCTTCAACGCCTTGCCCCGTTCTTGTGGCTGGTGGGGAACATCACCTAAGAAATCTTGAATCTCGAGTAACGATTGACGAAGCTTTGTTAGTTCCTTTTTGAATCCCCGGAAAAGACTTATTTCTTGAGCAGCAAGTGAAGCCAGCTTGTTCAGTATTCCCTCGACAGGAAAAGTATAGAGAACTTCCATACTCGCGCGAGACAGAGATGAGAGAGCAGAGAATGCAAAGATAGC